CCACCACAGGCGCTATTATAGGCGCTCCAGCGCCAGTCTCGATCTCCTTTACCAACTTCTCGATATCGTCGGCGCTGTCTCGACGCTCGATGTTGCCGCTTATTCCATTCCTCGTGTCGTCTGATGATATATCCTCGAACGTTTGTTCGGCTGCTCGTTGTGGCTCGTCCGTCGGTGTTGCGGTGACGTTTTCGCCACAAACTGGAAGCGGGATCAGAAATGATTCCGGTTCCACCTTCAGTTAGGTTAGACAGAATTAGAATTATACAAAGTTTATTTTTTATTAAATCAATACATATCGATATTCAATGTTTCATGATGCAGTGATTTACAGAATATTATTGAATAAGTGTGGGATCTGAAGGGCCTTCAAGATGCAATGTTTGTAACAATTCGTCGGCAAAATCATAGTCTTGACAATCAAAAGAGATATCCGATAAATTGAAAGATCAAATAAATGTCAGAAAATTATTGAGTTATTGCTTACGGTGAGTTGATGTTAAGTCAAATTAATGAGATGTTATCGTATGAATCCCAACACCTGAATAATGAAACAAAAAAATAAACGCTATTAAACTTACCCACACCTAAATTAAAGGAGTAAGGTTATACAGAACGATATAGCAATAGATTAGTAAAAGCAAGAGAAAAGAAAGAAAGAAAAGAGTGGTTAGAGTGAAAGGTCACTTGAAGCAGACTGTCTAAGGTTGCCCAATTTGACGGGTCTGTCGACAAGCAACTCGACACTGACGGTCGATGGTTTGCAACCAATTCTGACACGTCTGTGCAGATGGCTTGTTCAAAACTCGCTAGCCGCGCAAAGAGAACGATTGATGGCTGTGCCAATGCTCACGTTCCTATTTTGCAGCCTGCTCGTTAGAAAACGCACCACAATCACAAAGGATAGTTAGCAGATAGAGTCACAACGAGTCTATCGTTACGGAACTCGACAGGGACCGCACCCGCATACACGTAGCACCGTGCACCTGTATGGAGTATTCCGCAGACAGACAAGTCTGACGTAAAGCACAAGGATAGTTAGCGATTAGAGTCTCGAAATGCCTAGCTCTTACAGGACTCGACAGGGACAGCACTTGCGCGTTGCGCAGCACCGTGCACAAGTATTGAGTTTCCCGTAGGCAGACAGATCTGACGTTAAGCACAAAGTACAGAAAATCGTGAGTGTCACTCGCGATTATGAAACGAGAATGAAGCGTCTCTGTCACGGATCACCGTTTTTGAGCAATGACTCCGCGCACAGGAAATCACTTCACTGGTTCACAGATTTTACAGATTAAAGTCACACAAATAAAAGGAAAGGGTTCCTTTTCAAAGTTTTATTATTTCAGAATCAAGAGCAAAGAAAATATAATAATGAT